GAGTGTAAATAATAGAATCCAAATCTGAAGGAAGGAATGGTATCAGAGCTTAAGTTGTGAACACCTGCTTGAAGAAGTCCATGGAAGACAGTGGAAACCCCAAACTCATTTCCAGGGTCCACACATGGATTAAGCTTCTGGTAAGTCCCCTCTAATCATAATGTAGTGTTATGAATACCCTGATTATCGGGCAGAAAGCATTGTAGAGACAATTATATTAAATATAATTAAGTGAAAATGTAAGTTCTTATTTGAGCTCCTTTTTGTCTCATTTAAAAGTTGTTTCAGTTAAGAAAAGAGTGAAGAGGAAGTTCATGTGGATTAAGCCTCTGGTGAATATCTTCTGATGACTAGTCTTGTTATCATGTGAAGTGGATTATGGTAGATGTAGTTAGGCTAAACTTTTAACACCATAATATTTGATCTCCCTTTTGACCCATTTTAAGGTTGCTCTAATTTTTAATGTTTTCTGCTTTCTTTTTGATCGTGCTTTCCCCTCAATTTTATACTGTCACTGTTGTTAGCTTTTTTGTTTCTTAATTTTTGTATGATTTTGGTATATGAAATCCAGGGTGGCTGAATCTATAGATACACTAACTGGATTAATGGTTTCATGGGGGTATGGCCCTGCAAGTTGAAGGGAAATAGGGAGCTAGTAATAATAATACAAGAAAGAAAAATATGTTCTGAAAGTAATTGTAATGATTGTACAACTCTTCCTGATATGATTGAATTATTGAATTGTATGGTATGTGAGTGGGCTATGTGCCAATAAAACTTTTTAAACAATAGCCCTACTCTATTTTATTGCACTATATTTTTGTGCCAATAAAACTGTTTAAAAATAGCTTTACTATATTTTATTGCAGTGGAGGGAATTTACCTGTGTTTATGTATTATCAAACTTATTTATATCTCCATGATTATTCATGTATATATATATATTCTTAACCTATACTTTGAATAGGTTTTAGTATCTTAAATTAGTTGATACATACTTTTGAGATATGCTCCAAAAAAGATTGCTATATGTTATATCTGAAAGTCTTTCAAAAGGAGATATTTCGAGATATTTCTGCTGTATAGGCTCAACAATTTCAGTATAAAATTGTGCATGCTCACATACCGGCATAAAGCAGGTCTGACGTGCCGGCCCCAATCCCAACTACATGGACAGCCCCCCGATTCCCGACAGAAGAATTCACTTCAGAGGGCAGCATTAAAGATACAGTTCAGGGAGAGAGACTTGTTTGATTAGAGCACACAGGATCAAGTTAAGGGGGAGGAAGAGAGAGTAGAGCACATCCTGGTCCACCAATCCCTGAGGATGATATTCCCAATCAGAACAGCCAAAGCACAGAGAGGACCATAGGGCTGGCCCTACTAGGAGACATGACATCCCTCACTGACCCATAGCTATATGGGGGACAACAGTGGAGACAGTGCGGGAATCTCACCCAATCTGACCCTACCACATGGAGGTGAAACACTGAGGGAGTGCAACAGAACAGTAAGGGGAACGGAGCAATGAAGTCCCTAGTGAATACCAAAAACAGACTGTGGGGCCAGGGCATGGTACCCCATCAGATTTGACTGGAAAACATTCCTAAAGGTCAACCAACAGACCTTGAACTATTTATAGGCTTTCCTTTTTTTGTCGTTTTGTTGTTGTTTTGTTTTCTTTTGGTGCTTTATTTAGTTCTGTCTTGTTTTTTGTGCATATTGTTATTTGTGTATGTCTATCTAGGTCTGTAAGATAGGCTGGATAAAAAATCTGGAGGAGAAAACTATGGGACCTATGTTTCTGAAGGGACATAGGAGAGGGGGAGGTGGGTGAAAGGAAATGGGTGTTAACAAATCCAGGGACAAGGGAACAACAAGTGATCCAAATCGGTGGTGAGGAG